TTGAGGTTCTGAGAAAAGAAAAGTTGTTTGCTAACCTTAAAAAGTATTCCTTTTGCACAAATCAGATTGTCTTTTTAGGGTATTTTGTTTCAGCTAATGGACAAATAAAAGTGGTTAGTAGGGCGTTGTCAACCTGATGGGAATCAAGACAATTATTGAATCTGAGTTTTTGAGAGACTTTTTCTCTTTGGGTTCGTTTCGTTCTCTTTGGGGTTCTCATAACAACCTTATTGCGATATTCAGAAGAACTTGAAGAATTGGGAAGAGTGTTTGCTGCAGGTTGAATTTGCTTATAACCAGAGCATCCATTTAGCAACTAACTGTTCACCATTTGAGGTTGCGTATGGTTTTAATCCACTCATTCCTTTGGATTTATTGCCATTACCTATTGATGAACAAGCTAGTTTGGATGAAAAAAAGAAAGCTGAAGTGGTTAAGCAACTACATGAGAGGGTGCGACAAAACATAGAGCGACGAACTGAGCAATATGCAAAACAAGCCAACAAAGGACACAAGAAAGTTGTCTTTGAACTTAGAGATTGGGTTTGGGTGCATATGCACAAGGAGCGACTCCCTGCACAAAGGCATTCTAAACTGCAACCAAGAGGCGATGGACCATTTCAAGTGATTGTGAGGATTAATGACAACGCATACAAGTTGGAGCTTCCTGGTGCGTATAATGTTAGTGCTACTTTTAATGTTTCTGATCTTTCTCCTTTTGATGTAGGTGATGATTTGAGGACAAATCCTTTTGAGGAGAGAGGGAATGATGGGAATCAAGACGACAGCATATCTACTACGTCATGTGATCCATTACACACCCAAGGAGGACCAGTCACGTGAGCTAGAGCTAAGAAGATGCGTGAAGCTTTAAATGGCCTTATTGAGCAGATCTGGGTTGAAAACAACATACAACAAGCAAATCGAAGCTTGGATGATTATCAAGGCATGGTAAAAATCATTCAGGTTCAAGAGAAGCTTAGTTGAGGTCATTTGTGCGCAATTACACAGTTTGTGTCAAAATCGCACAATTCTGCCGCAATTTGTAGCAAACTGATATTTCGTGTTATGTTAGGTTATTTTTAGTGATTTTCACATTTTTTGTATTATTTTTGGGCTGAACATATTATTTGAAGCCCAATTCGTGGTTATTAGGTTTAGGACTTAGGGTGTTAGTTTCCTATTCTGATTAGGATTTGTTTTCTCTATTTAAAAGGCTTGTAACCCTAATGGGGGAGAGGCTTGAATCTGATATTTTGAGAGACTTTTCTCTTTGGTTCGTTTCAGAACTTTACATAACTTATCAAGATTATTCTTGTGGCGTTCTAACCTGATTTATCATTCTCGTTCTTAATCGTTCGAGGGTGTGGCATCAACCAACTTGATACGTCTGGTTTTTGTTGCGTCATAGACAACGGGTCAAGGTTTTTAACTTTGGTTCTTGTTGCGACATAAGCAACAGGTCAAGGTATTATTATAAATCTGATTTAGCTTTCCTGGAGTTTAGAAATCTCTTGTCGTGCTATGAGTCTCATTGTTCTCTTTGTGGTTCTAATCAACCTCAAAGAGAACAATGAGACCCACAGCACGACAAGGGATTTATGAACTCCAGGAAAGCTAAATCAGGTTTACAATAGGACCTTGACCTGTTGTTTATGTCGCAACAAGAACCAAAGGTATAAATTTGGTTGATGCCACACCCTCGAACAATTAAGAACGAGAATGATAAGTCAGGCTAGAACGCCACAAGAATAATATTGATAAGTTCTGTAAAGTTCTGAAACGAACCAAAGCGAAAAGTCTCGCAAAACTCAGATTCAATCACTCCCCCCAATTAGGGTTACAAGCCCTTTAAATAGGGAAAAGTAATTCTAATCAGAATAGGAAACTAACACCCTAAGCCCTATAATCCTAATAACCACGAATTGGGCCTCAAATAAATGAAGGTTCAGCCCAAAATAATACAAAAACGTGAAAATCACTGAAAGTAACCTAAAGTAACATGAAAATTAATTTGTTACAAATTGCGACAGAATTGCGGGATGTTGACGCAAACTGTGTAGTTTATCATAAATGACCTCAATTAAGCTTCTCTTGAATCTGAATGATGTAACCATGCCTTGATAGTCATCCAAGCTTTGACTTACTTGTTGCATGTTGTTATCAACCCAGATCTGCTCAATAAGGCCATTTAAAGCTTCTCGCATCTTCCTAGCTCTAGCCCTCGTGACTGGACCTTCTGGAATGTGTAATGGATCTCTTGACATGGTACATGTGGGGTCATCTTAATTTCCATCATTCCCTCTCTCCTCAAAAGGATTTGTTCTCAAATCGTCACCTACATCAAAAGGAGAAAGATCAGAAACATTAAAAATAGCACTAACATTATACTCACCAGGAAGCTCCAACTTGTATGCATTGTCGTTTATCCTTGCAATCACTTGAAATGGTCCATCGCCTCTTGGTTGCAACTTAGAATGCCTTTGTGCAGGGAATCACTCATTCCGCATATGCACCCAAACCCAATCTCCAGGTTCAAACACAACTTTCTTGTGCCCTTTGTTGGCTTGATTTGCATATTGCTCACTTCGTCGTTCTATGTTTTGTTGCACCCTCTCATGTAGTTGTTTAACCACTTCAGCTTTCTTTTTCCCATCCAAACTAGCTTGTTCATCAATGGGTAATGGCAATAAATCCAAAGGGGTGAGTGGATTCAAACCATACACAACTTCAAATGGTGAACAGTTAGTTGCTGAATGGATGCTCTGATTATAAGCAAATTCAACATGCGGCAAACATTCTTCCCAATTCTTTAAGTTTTTTTGAATAATAGAACACAATAAGGCTAACAACGTCCTATTAACCACTTCTGTTTATCCATCAGTTTGTGGATGACAAGTAGTTGAAAACAATAGCTTAGTTCTCAACTTTCCCCACAAGGTCTTCCAAAAGTAACTCAAGAACTTAACATCACGATCAGAAACAATAGTCCTTGGAACACCACGTAAATGAACAACCTCCTTGAAGAACAGATCAGCAATATTGGTTGCGTCATCGGTTTTATGACATGGAATGAAGTGTGCCATCTTCAAGAACCTGTCAACAACAACAAAAATAGAATCACGGCCTCTTTTTGACCTTGTTAAGCCCAGAACAAAATCCATAGATATATCAACCCAAGGTTCAGTAGGTATGGGTAAGGGAGTATACAAACCATGTGGTAAAACTCTAGATTTTGCTTGTTTACATGTTATGCACCTTTCACACATCCTGCGAGATAATGCATCAGCCACAATGTTTTCTTTTCCTTGCTTGTACTTGATCACATAGGGAAATGTTCCAAGGAATTCCACCCACTTAGCATGTCGTCTATTCAACTTACCTTGTCCCTTGAGGTGCTTCAATGACTGATGATCAGTATGTATCACAAACTCCTTAGGCCAAAGATGATGCTGCCACGTTTCTAAGGCCCTTACCAATGTGTACATCTCTTTGTCATATGTAGGATAGTTAAGTGCTGCACCAGTCAATTTTTCATTGAAAAATGCAATAAGCCGCTGCTCTTGCATCAAAACAGCGTCAATGCCGATACCTGATGCATCACATTCAATTTCAAAAGTTTTAGTAAAATCAGGTAAAGCAAGTAATGATGTAGAAATTAAATTCTCCTTAATCAAATTGAAAGAATTCTCCTGTTCACTTTCCCACTTAAATCCAACACTTTTTTTCACGATTTCAGTCAATGGAGCTGCAATTGTGCTGAAGTCCTTGATGAATCTCCGGTAGAAACTTGCCAAACCATGAAAACTCTGCACCTTAGAAGTATTCTTAGGTGTTGGCCATTCTTTAATAGCCTTAATCTTTTCTTCGTATATTACAATTCCATCAGCTGAAACAACAAACCCTAAAAAGACAATCTGATTTGTGCAAAAGGCTTTTGAAGGTTAGCAAACAACTTTTATTTTCTCAAAGCCTCTAATACCATTTGCAGATGCTCAATATGATCAGTTAAACTCTTACTATATATCAGAATGTCATTAAAATAAACAACCACGAATTTGCCAATGAAAGCACACAAAACATGATTCATAATTACATGAATGTACTAAGTGCATTAGGATTTGGCCACAGATTTCTTTGCTATATAAGGAATTCCAACCACAGAATTGTGTTGCTTGTTTCTCTCTTTCTCTTTTTTTTTTTCTTTTGCGATCCTCTTCCCTTTTTTTTTATAATGGATTTTAATGGACTATTAGAAGATATGGATTATTGCATAATATATTAAACTATTTTTAAGGCTTATACACTTGTGGGAGTCGCACATAGGTGTATAGCATCTGTTTTTCTCTTGGTTTTAGGGCGTGACATAAAATTAGTGAAAAAAATATGGACATTTATTTTTTGGAAGGTGAGAAACAAAATTTGATAAAAGAAAAGAATTCTATACTTTTTGAAAAGGAAAAGGCAAAGAAAGAAGTTGACAGGTATGCTCAAACTGTCCAAAAATTAAAAAGGATCATCCAGAATGAAGAAAGGCAAAATGATCATTTACTGCATGATAAAAACAGGTTGGAGGATAAGCTTAATCAAGTCAAGGATCGAAATGCTGATTTAAATATTCAAATAAACTAGCGGCAAGATGAGATTGATCGACTTAAAGGCTTTGAAAATGAAGTGTAGAATTTGCTTAATGATAAATTACAATTGTTGCAACAACTTAAGGAAGCTCAAAATAATGAAAAAATAGATAACGGACAAATGGATAGTAATGCAAATGCAACAAGTTTATCAAAATGAGAAGACAAGAGGATTAGAAGTAGAGATAAAAGGATTAAACAGACAATTGAATGAGGCATTAGCTGCAATTGGTGAATTAAAGAGGGAATGGGGAAAGGGTGCTTTATTTGGTCAATGGAATCTATTATGAAGTGTTTGAGGCTGAGTGTACTATTCCACCAAATCAACATGATGTGGCTTCAAATTTTGTGGAAAGGCTTTCTAGGATGATAAGAGATTATTGTGAACATGAGCCTCAAATTTTAAATAAAGGAATGAAGTTTGAAATCAAATTTCATATTTTTCTTCAATTCAATCTCTTGAGAAAGAAGCAAGTTCTTCATTATAACAAAAGAAAAGATATGAAGGAGCCAACCTCTTCATTGTTTTTCTTTTCCGTTCAAAAGAAAAAAAATCTAAAAGGTCATGAAGGAGATAATCTCCTCATGCTTTTGGCTTGCATGGCAATTATTTGACTCTAATTTCTCCTTCCCTTTGCAAACAAATAGTTGAAGTTGCTCTTAACAATGAAGAATTCATGTGTAAAATAAATTATAATTAGTATGGTTGTTTGAGGATATGTTTCACTCATCAAATTTGTCTAATGGAAACTTTGGGAATTTATCTTTCAAAATGCCAATTACATATGACCATGATTTGTTAATAATGCTTATATTTCCTACATGTGTTAAAAGATTAGTAGTAAAAAGAATTATCTAAGAGTTCGTTTACCTGTTCTCACTAGAACTCTTATAAAGAAAATGGCCGACGAAGCTAATTTAGAGAAAGGAACTCTTGAAAATTGAGTTGAAAACATAGAAAACACTTTGAAGGAATTGATAGCTTCCTCTCAATCTCTTCAAGCAACCTTAGTCGTAATGGTGCCTTTGGCAACTAATTCTTTGTTTGAAGGAAATGTTCCTGTGGCAAATGTCCTTATTGCCACATTTACTTTAACTCTTGGAAAGGAGCCAATGTCATCTAGTCCTCCAAATTTGACTGTTATTGGAGCTTCTGGGATAAAACCACTTGTCCTTACTCTTCTAAATGCTAGTGTCGCTACAACTCAATATAATGAAAATGATCAAGTTGGGACTCAAATTGTTAAATCAATCATAAAGGATGATGATGGGAATCCAGACAACAACATATCTACTACGTCATGTGATCCGTTACACAGCCAAGGAGGTCCAGTCACGCGAGCTAGGGCTAAGAAGATGCGTGAAGCTTTAAATGGCCTTATTGAGCAGATCTGGGTTGAAAACAACATACAACAAGCAAATCGAAACTTGGATGATTATCAAGGCATGGTAAACATCATTCAGGTTCAAGAGAAGCTTAGTTGAGGTCATTTGCATGGAATTACACAGTTTGCGTCAAAATCGCACAATTCTGCCGCAACTTGTAGCAAACTGATATTTCGTGTTATTTTAGGTTATTTTTAGTGATTGTCACGTTTTTTTGTATTATTTTTGGGCTGAACATTTGCTTATTTGAAGCCCAATTCGTGGTTATTAGGTTTAGGCCTTAGGGTGTTAATTTCCTATTCTGATTAGGATTTGTTTTCTCTATTTAAAGGGCTTGTAACCCTAATGGGGAGACAATTATTGAATCTGAGATTTTGAGAGACTTTTCTCTTTGGTTCGTTTCAGAACTTTACAGAACTTATCAAGATTATTCTTGTGGCGTTCTAACCTGACTTATCATTCTCGTTCTTAATCGTTCGAGGGTGTGGCGTCAACCAACTTTATACCTCTGGTTCTTGTTGCGTCATAGACAACGGGTCAAGGTTTTTACCTTTGGTTCTTGTTGCAACATAAACAACGGGTCAAGGTCCTATTATAAACCTGATTTAGCTTTCCTGGAGTTTAGAAATCCCTTGTCGTGCTGTGGGTCTCATTGTTCTCTTTGGGGTTCTCATCAGATGAAGACAAGGCAACAAATGCAAATTGCAAAGGTGCAGTTGATAAAGGAAACACTAAAATCAATGCAAGGTGTTCGAACCAATAAACCGGTGGACATCTCATCTTTGTGCTTTTTCCCAAACATCCAATTGCCACATAAGTTTAAGTTGCCTAAATTGGATAAGTATAATGGCACTAGTTGTCCTTATGCTCACTTTTTTTTTTGAACAGTGTCGTGGGAAAATGGCACTTTACACCAATGATGAAAAGCTAATGATAACATTACTTTTAGGATAGTCTGATAGGACCTGCAGATGCTTGGTTCTCAACTTTAGACAAGAGTAAGGTTAAGAGTTGACATGATTTGACTCACAATTTTATAAAGCAATATGAATACAACACATTATTAGCTCTTAGTAGAGAAGATCTTTAAAAGATAGAAAAGAAATCACGTGAGAGCTTTAAGGAATTTGCTTAGAGATGACGTGGATTGGCTACTTGAGTTTAACCAGTACTGACTGATCATGAATTGAGTAATTTGTTCATTAAGTGAACCAAAGGGCCTGATTGTGAGAAAGTAATGACTTGTGTAAATTACACTTTTACTCAATTGGTTGGTGGGAGAACAAGTGAAGGATGGAATCAAGTTTGGGATCATTATTAATTATTAAGCAATGAAGAGTCTCCTTGAATAATACCAAAATGGTAGTTGAGGGGTTTCTAGTTCAAAGAAGGTTATCTAGAATTGAAAGAAGGAAAATGACTATAAGCTCAGTTTGTGAGACATTTGAGAGAAATAATTAGCCACATCCTTGAAGGTAGTTCAACAATCTTTTCCAAGCTCCAACTTATCAATTGTCAACTTTTACAAATCAACCAAGGCCAATTTATGCCTCTAAGACAAGTCATCCACAATAAGAAAAAATGAGACGGCATTTTGACAAACTCCCTATGTCATATGTTGAAGTGTTTTGACAATTGGTGGCAACTGGTCTTATTACTCCTATATCTATGGTGTAAGTAAACTCACCATTTCCAGCATGGTACAACCCACGGGTGTTATAACTTGATTTTTCATTTAGTTCATTTAGACTTTTCATATATATATATATATAATTAATCAAAAAAATACCAAAACAAAAAAAAAATACAAGAATGTGAAAACAAAAACAAAAAAGAAATTTAAAAAATATATATATATATACATATGAATTCTTCTTTCTTGCTTTTCTTTAATTGATATATCTTTATTTTATTTTGTTTCAAGTACTACATGCAAAAAGAAATTCAAGAAGAGATTGGAAAAGAAATTCAAAAAGGGGACTCAATTGAAGGAAGTCAAAGTTTGAGATCAAATTACAAAAATTATGCAAAAGCCTTTGAATCTTAGCCCATGTAGACCTCAAAACTATCTCAAGCGGCCCAAAATCCCTTAATCAAGGCCCAATCCAAGCTCAGCCCAAACTAGCAATAAAGCCCTAGCTTTCTTTCTTTTCCTTGGGAAGGAACGAATAAGAGAAAGGAGGCAAGCCACTGAAAAAAGGGGAGGAAAGAATAAAAAAAAAGAAAAAAAAAAGAAAAAAAAGAAGAAGAAGAAAAAAAAAAAGAGAACAAGCTCTCAATTCTTCTCCCATTTAGACCATTCTTTGATTACGATCACCATTCTCCACTCATCATCATCTTCCATCACCAATCTTATTCCTTCAGACCATTCTCTTCCACATTACACCCTCTAAGTAGCAGATCATCGTCTCCACCTCACGACAGCCACACATCATCTTCCACAGCTCCTGGGTGATGAGAACCCCAAAGAGAACAATGAGACCCACAGCACGACAAGGGATTTCTAAACTCCAAGAAAGCTAAATCAGGTTTATAATAGGACCTTGACCCATTGTTTATGTCGCAACAAGAACCAAAGGTAAAAACCTTGACCCGTTGTCTATGACGCAACAAGAACCAGAGGTATAAAGTTGGTTGACGCCACACCCTCGAGCGATTAAGAACGAGAATGATAAGTCAGGTTAGAATGCCACAAGAATAATCTTGATAAGTTCTATAAAGTTCTGAAACGAACCAAAGAGAAAAGTCTCTCAAAATCTCAGATTCAATAGCCTCTCGATTAGGGTTACAAGCCCCTTTAAATAGGGAAAAGTAATTCTAATCAGAATAGGAAACTAACATCATGGGTCTCTCCTTTCTTCTAGTAATTGTCAACTTCCTCAGTTCCTTATCATCTCAACTACTCAGATCCCCATTTCCAGGAAGGTTGCTTATTAGTCTGATTCTTTCTCCTTCTAGGTATACTCGGAACAAAGGGGTTTTGGGGAAAGGTAGTGATGGAGATGAATGGATTCTAGTCCTGTGCGTGGGATCCCTCCTTTCAAATCTAAATCTACTTTTCTCCAAAAGTTCTACCATGTTTGCTTTCTTTTATTTTTTTTTTCTTGAAAGTGTTTGATATTCTGCAGTTAAGTTTTATGAATTTTGTTGGAAAATGAATAATAATCAAGTATGTTTATTTTATTTTCTATTAAGTTTTCACTGAATCTTTTGGAAATTTGCGTTTTGATTGAAGTTTAGCGTAACTATTTCACTGGAGATACAATCTGCCAAAATAACCCTAAAATCCCAATTATTGAATTTAAACTTGATTTGTTTTTACCCATTTGGATAATTAGATTATGTTTGTGGGTAGGCTAACCCAACCTATTTAGTTTAGAGGTTACGGATTGGAATAGATTTTAAAAATGAATCATGACCCGCTTTGCAGGCTAACCCAACAAATCAAATAAAAAAAATAAAACACACAATATTAATAATAATAAAATCTTAATAATTGATTTTAAAAAGTGATAATTAGTTTAATTTATTTTAATTAAAATTAATTGATTACAGTTAATCAACCTTAATTAAAGTAGTTGGATTAACCTAATTATTTTAAAGAAAGGTTGATTAAGGTAATTAATTATTTTGATTAATTTTAATTAATTCATAATTAATTATTCAATTAGATCAATTATTTTGATTAACCAGTCTCAATCTTGTTTAATTTGCTTTAAATCAACTTTTGAAAGTCAAAGTTCCCTCTTATTTAATTTTAATTTCTAATAAAACTTTCTTTAATCAAGGAATTTAGTCCAGAAACTTTAAACCTTCAAATCCGTCCTCTGCATTTTGAATTTAATCAAATCAGTTCCTCTACTTTTAAGTTTGTCTCAATTGTAACTTAGGAAGGAATAAACAAAATTGCTATCTCCTTCTTTGAATAGAACTCAAAGAGAATTTCTAACTCCTTATTGGAGTAGGATTCCTTCTTCTTTAAGGATTTGGCCACAGATTTCTTCTCTATATAAGGAATTC